AAGGCAAGTCTTGCCTGACGAATTTGCTGTCCTTCCTTGACGAGGTAACTACCATACTAGACCGTGGTGACGCTGCTGAAGTTTGCTATCTGAATTTCCAGAAGGCATTTGACTCAGTCAAACATCGGCTACTTTCACTCAAGTTAAGGAACCTGCGAGTTGCTCCTGTGGTGGTGGATTGGATAGGAGAATACTTGAGTGGGCGAAACTTCTACGTGCAAGTAGAAGAGTCCCGATCTACCTCCGCCTTGGCCTGTAGTGGGGTACCACAGGGATCGGTACTTGGGCCTTTGCCGTTCGTAATATTTATTAACGATCTGGCTCACAGGCTACAGTCGCCGTGCTTAGTATACACCGACGATGCTAAAATAGTAGGTAGGCCAACCGGGGATGTCATCCAGCAGGACTTAGACACCCTCTTCAAATGGTCCGTAGTCTGGGGTCTTCCACTAAATGCCAGCAAGTGCAGGCCCTTAGTGTCCGAAGGTCTTCCTGTAGTGCGCTACCTGAACCCGGATAACCCCCTGGCAATTCAGCACACAGAGACAATGAAGGATCTAGGGTTGCTTATGCACCAGTCCTTCAAGCCGTCACCACAATGTGCTGAGGCTGCCGGGCAGGCTCGAAGAGTTTTGTTCGAGATGCGACGTACTGTTGCATCGAGGGACCTGATAGTCCTGCTTTCTCTGTGCAAGGTGTTCGTTTGCCCTCACTTAGAATATGGAGTCCAAGCATGTGCACGAACTAAGGTTGGAGACATGAACATTCTTAACAGGATACAAAGGAGGGTCACCAAATTTCTCCCAGGTCTCCAATGGTTGACGTATGCCCAGAGACTGGAGAGGCTGTGGCTTTTCTCCCTCAGAAGAAGAAGATTGAGGGGGGATCTTATAGAGACCTTCAAGCTCCTGAAAGGAACCACCGGTACAAGAGTCCCCATACTTAACACAGATAACTATCCTTCCCTCAGGCAACGGATTGAAACTGAGCAAGCCCAGAGCTCTGAGCATTAGGGCAAACTTCTTCTTCCATAGGGTGGTAAAGGCATGAAACAGTTTGCCAGCGAAGGTAGTCTCAGCTCGGACTGTAGTGCAGTTCAAGGCCAGGCTAGATAAGAGCTGGATTGCCATGTTCCCCGACCTTGTCTAATTCTGAGACCTTCAACCGTACGTACTCTCTTCTTTCTAGAGGCTTCCCCGCCTTCTTCATCATTGTTATTAGTTTTAGTACTATGACGAACCACCATTTCAACCTTATCCCTCTTCTTCTTTCATCTTATTTTTACTCTATTGTCTGTTGATATAAGGTAAGGGATACCTCCAACGACTGAGGGACCTGGACTTGTTCTCCCTGGCCAGCAGACGCATGCGGGGCGATCTTATAGAGACAGTTAAGATTGTCAAAGGGCTTTCCTGTCTAAAGTTCGAAGACCTTTTCTAGTATATTCCTGCCAGGGGCACGAGAGGGCATCAAATTAGATTGGAAAGAAGTCATTTTGGAATTAATCTACGAGCTAAGTTCTTCAAAATCAGGGTTATACCACTGGTGGAATAAATAACTTAAAGTGGTGGTTGACTGTACTGGTACTGAATCTTTCAAGAGAAAGCTGGACGAATGCTGGGCAGTAGTTTTTCCAGTAGTTGACTGTTGAAAGTTATCCGTTAGGCTTTACTTTCCGTAACACGGATCGATTACTGCGCACTAAAATTTGTCCTTTCAGAATACACTATTTACTCGAAGTGTTAGAAGCCAACGAAACCACCGACAACATAAGAAACTGGACGCGCGATTGGCAAGAGCCACAATTCGTCCTTTAAGAACTGAACTGCACTAAATTGCACCCGCAAGGCGGTTATCTCGGGTCCTCAATACCCCCTGGACTCGATGGTAACCTCCGAGAAAATTCCACAACAATTGCAAAGAACCCGTTCCCTGGATCACATTCGTTAAAGCGGAGAACCTCTTACAAGGATTACTCCACCGACATAACGACCACCAAACAGTGCAACCACCCGCAGATCGTCTTCTGTGTGCTGATAAATATTTGCAGCATCTTGAACAAGAGAGACGAGGTGACTGGTACTCTCGCCACCGTTGATCTGTGCGTCCTGACGTAAACTTTGTTGCGCGAGAAATTCGAAATCGGTGACTGGAGCCTCAACGTTTATCATTACCGCTCCGACCGTATTAGCTCATTTGGTGGAGGTTGCGGCAAGTGATCGGTCAGTCAGCGATGCACTTCATGGCTAGCTCAACAAACATCAAATCAGCAGCGTGCATTCTGCGCATAAATCCCCCCGTCATGGCTGTTGGGATCTATCGCAGCCCAAGCTCGTCAAACCATGAAGACAAGGACCTTCTTCAGGCCTTGCTTGGAGCTGTCAGATCAGGATATCATCTTTTGATTCTAGGTGATTTCACCGCGCCCACTGTCAACTGGGCAGAACAATCATGTTGCGTAAAGCATATCCAATCTAACCCTCACGCAGCATGTGATAGTACTTACCAGAATCATACTTGAGCAGTTACTCTCCACTCTTGATCTCGTTGTAACGGGGAACAGTTATGACGTCGCGGGACCAAGGACCGGAGTTTCCTTGGGCAAACGCGATCACTCCTCGATGTTTTCCAAATTCCATCGAGAAGAAACCCCGAAGCCAAAGACTGGAATTCTAAGATTCCACAACATCAACATTCATGAGTCGGTCAACGGAGCGAAGGGACCGGGCTTGGACAATCTGAGCTACATAGAGGACACCTGAAACTGAATGAGGGACAACATTGTACCCCTCGTGTAGGTCTATGTACCTATAAAAACAATGAGGATAAAGAAACAGGAACCTTGGTTCCAACCTAGAGTCCGCCGGCGCTTGAGAGGAAACATCAGGCATGGATGGCGTTCAACAGCCAGCAAAAGCTCCTGCTCTTTGTTTGCTTTAAACGACTCCGCAATAAAGCCATCAAAGTAGCACGGGCTGCTAGACTCAAATATCAATCAACCATAGCCAACGAGGCCTCAAAATACTGTACCTGGTCGTGCCTGGATTGTGGTCAAGGAAGTCTGGATCACTACAACTGTTTTTCTTCAAGATTGCTTGGTAAATCTGGCTCGCCTGACGGCTATACCTGCGGACTGCAATCGCTGGCTCCGCCTGTTCCTGGTTGTGTCCTTGCGTTTCGATTAGTTGCGTCTGTGCANGTCTGTGCATTTGACTGATTCGTCTCTGTCAGGTGTTCTGACGGGGTTTGCACCTGATTTTCTCCTTCGGTTTCCTCTTGATGCCGCTGGTCCGTGGATAGTTTGGAGTGGACTTGGTCCACGTGTCGCTTGTGCACAGTGGCATCGTTCAAGTCGGTAATTTCCACAACGGCTTCACCCAGTTGTTGTGTGACTATACCAGACGCGGGTCGTAAATCATTACACAGAAGTTTACGGCGTCATTGGTATCGAGGCACTGTAGAGAGGATCGCAAGCGTCTGGATTGCCGGGTTCTCCTTATTGATTGTACGTGTTGCGTTTCGGTATTGGAGTAGGAAGTTATCCACCAACATTTCCAATTTAGGTAGCGTTTTCGAATTGAATAACGCAATCGCACTCTTGACAGTTTTAACTACATTATCTGCTGCTTCGTTCGAACAGAAGTGACGTGACGCAGTTCGAATATGTCGACAACCAATGCTGTTTATCCAAAGCTTCATTTCGATCGCACATAGCTAAGATCCATTGCCCATCACAAGTACTTGCGGAATCCCTTCGCTAATAAAACATTTCCGTAGTACTTCTATCACAAATGATGCAGTAAGCGTAGTCGTCAAGAATACCTCTGGCCATTTGGAGTATAAATTGATCTGGAAAAGGGCGTCATAACGGTTCAGAAATGGACCACAGAAATCCAAATGAACCCTTTGCTATGGTATGTAACTTTCCGGCTATGGTGTCTAGTTTTTCGGCCTTGTTTGTAATTTATGTAAACAAGACTCGTAGTTCTTGGCTGTTGCGTAAATGTCTGCGTCCAACTCCGGCCACCAACACATCTATCGAGCCAATAGTTTTATCTTATCCATTCTCACATGTCCTTTATGCAATTCTCCTAGCATTGTCTTCCGTAGTGGCGGTGGGATTACCAATCGATCATCACGGCGCAATACACCATCCAATTGCACTGACAACTCCTCTCGGTGAGCAAGGAATTGAGGATACTTTCTCTTTACCTCTGGTGATTACCCTTTCTTGATCGCTTAGAGTATTGCCGAGTAGTACAGCTTGGTAGATTTGCGCAAAAATTCCCGAGACACTGGTGATGCTGGAGAGATAAAATGACACTCTTCGGCCTCTGAAAATCATGAGTAGCGTGAGAGGAAGTCAGCCTGTGGGATTGTCTTTCCTGGACGGAGTTAGATTTTGTAGTTTTACGCGGCTAGGGTGATGCTCCACCTCTGTAGCACAGCAGCAGTGGAATTTGCATAGGATTTGTTGGGGTTTAACAAGAACTGTAGCGCTTGGTAAACAATGATGATGGTAAACCGCAATCCGAAAAGATACTTGTGCAATCGCCGAACAACCCTAAATACAGCCAACGCTTCTTTTTAGTCTGTGAGTATCTCTTCTCTACCGCATTAAGTATATGTGAAATGCCGAACACTGGGTATCCCTTTCGTTCTAATACAGCACCGATTCCGACGTCAGACACATCGGTGATTAGTATAGTAGGTGAAAACGGAGCCAAAACAGGACGATCAATAACGCGGTGGGTTTGAAAGTCATGGAAAATATTTTACTACAAAAGATGCTGCCCAGCTGAATCTGATCCCAATCAATTTGCCTACTG